TTTCTGTCACCTTCAGAATGGCGGAGCTTTTCATTCGAAGGCACAAGAATCAGACTATAAATCAGACTGTATTGCAGGTAAACTGCTCGCTCACACAGTTTGTCTTTAAATACCACTGCGGCGAATCCTAATCTACAGACAAACTTCACCGACCTGACACATATTTTCGTAACTGGAAAACACTACACTTATTTTGCCTTTTTACATTTCCTTCGCCGTATTCCCACCCCTCTCTAGCAAAACGCGCGGAAAAATAAACGTTGGCACGAAAATAGGGATCATCCATACGGCAGGTGGTCCTGAGTTAAATTCCATAGTAGGTACCTTTTCCCGAATTCGAACGTTGACCCTAACCCAAACCCAAATTCTCACGCCCCTTATCCTAACCCTAACACGCATCAGTAAACCTCATAACCCTAGTTCTTACCCTCGTTGTCCCAACCACAACCCTCCTGGAATTTGGAGCTATACTATCCGCTACACAGAGGAGTCTACATTTCTGTGCCCTGCCAAAATATATTTTGACTTATTTAATTGCGTGTCCGTGAGAGGACGGTCACGACAAAACGGGTCAGGAATTCCATTAATTAAACTGATATTTGTAGGCTCTCGTTAAGGGGCAGCGCAAGCACCAACATATTCAACTAACCGCGCTAATTCTAGCAGAAGAGGGGTAGTTAACTTCGAAGTAGAAAGTCGACATCCTTTGTACCAAAATGATATCAGGGCTTGTCAGGAGTCCGTAGGCAAAATATTGGCTTGTATTTATGCACATATTTGAGGGTTTAGAGGCAGAGACCTTGATGACTTATCTATGCACAATGATTAGAGGCGTGGACTTCTAAACCAACAGGTCGCGAGTTCGAGGCTCGGGTGTTCCACACTTCGGGGTTGGGTATGACTGGCTGACGACGGCTAATAAGACAGAAATGGCCATTCCAGTCTCCCTTGTATTTGTCGGCAATAACCTTCGGCCTATATCATGCGCCGCTGTGCGGCTGCTGGTTGGGGTCGAGAGAGAGCCCATAAGGCACAACGGAACGAGTGAGTTCTGTAAGAACGATCGGAGAGCGCCCCCTACCACAACATACCATACTATCTTAAAATGGGGACAGTCCGGATTTCATGTTCTGTGAGTGTTATAGAGGGGGAGTTAGGAAGGGCCGCTGAGTCTGATTCTCAGATTTCTATCCAGTCATCCCACACTTGCGCACGCGAAAGTTATGCTGTCGGTTTCGACGATGTCCAATGTGGGTTCCACAGAAAGATGTGAATAGGGATGGCGAATTGTGTGTGAAGTAGTTTATAGTGATAATAAACTTGTGCAGCATCTGCCGCACTCTCCTCCCCCACCCTCCTGAGCCCAGTGTCACGGTCAAGCAAAAAGAACCCGAGGCGGAAGAGGACGCAGGTGGATGGCATTGCGAAAACCCGCACCTAGGCGTGCCACTACACCATCTGGTCTACAACGTACACTGACCAGGATTTTGTACATAAAGAAAAAGGGGCACGGTTTTGGTGTGGTGAAAGACTGCACCTGATCCTGCCACCATACCCAATATTTTAACATTTGTTATGGGCACGCATTCCCAGTTGCGCCTGCTGACCCTTGTAGTGGTCCAACACACCTATTGTGTGGTTCTTTTTGGGGAGGAAACACACACAGTGCTGATCACGAGGACAGAGTTAGCCAATCAGCTAGCTGTTTATCAAACCACGACCTCTAATTGCACGTCGGATTTATCAGAGTGAGGAATGCGCTGATGTGCTATGGGATTGAGTACCCCAGTTTCGATCTCTCTCTCTCTCTCTCTCTCTCTCTCTCTCTCTCTCTCTCTCTACCAGTCCATCATTTTAGCCGGTAAGTCACTTGGCGTTGAGGTTGGGCTCAGTAGGCAACAAATCTACAACAGCCCTTCTACGTACGTCACACACGATCTGAGACTTGGTACTCAAATGCCAACTCCATCAACAGATATCTAGACCTTCCTTCGGCCTATAAAGTCCTACGTCACTACAGACGCCGTGAAGAAGACAATACAGTCATACGGAGCCTAAGAATACCGTGCAAATATGGCCTGCCCGCCAATTCACCCAAAAGGGGACGCAAACGCAACTAACCCCAATTGGGGTGCCGACACACAATACAGAGGCCATCAACACACACAAGCGACGGCCAATAGGCAAGGGCAACGAAAGAAGAAAACATCGATCAACCCAGGTCCAACTAATCCGGCTGTCTATTCAAAATTCTGATCGATTTTTGCACTAGACGCTTTGATGATGGAGAGTCGCCCAAGCTCTTCGAAACGTCAGCCAAACAAGGCTCTCGATCCGGTGAGCAATTTCCTTTCCTCAGATTATCTACCCGGATCTCTTACTTTTGCTAACCTGAAATCTACAACGGTCCTTCTTCCTGTGTCACACACGATCTGGTCAGGCACCTACTTGAGCCAAAGAACATGCGCTGTATTGATGTGAACGACACATGTTCTGCCCGTGTGTCGAGCGTTGTGAAGCCGGTCCATGTGTGGTGTGGACACTGTTGGGGCGGGATGAGGTCTGTGATGCTTAACCACAGGTTTTCATGAATGCACACCCGACCGAATAGGTCTGGACAGGGGAGCGGTGTGCGACTGTTGTATACTGCGGTCCCTGACACTGATACACCAGTCTCAGTCTATCAGCTACCCGACCAGGTCGATGCGTGATGCAAATGTGCGGCGATAGTAGGGACAAGAGGGAACTGTGGTTAGTGGACTGTGGGTGTGACGATGGTGAGGATGGTGGTGACGTTGGTGGGGGTAAAGTTGATAATGCTAATGGTAGAGGGTCTTTCAGGTGCAGGAAATAGGTTTCTCGAGACAACGCGGGGGGAGGGGGGGGGGTGGATTCCACTGTCATGAATATCCGCATGGTCAATTAAACCCATGCAGTATCTGAGCGTCCCTGAGCATTGTGAGCAGACGAGGCACTATGACGTGTATTTGTCAAGCTTACAGGTATTGGTTCGCCTGGATCAGTATGATGGATGCACAAGTGACTGAATAGGCTTATGCGTGATGAAAAGGTGCGATTTCAATGGTGACCAGTTGGAATTTGGTTCACATTGTTGGCGGTGGGGGCAGTGACGGCAGTGTTTTGTAGAGTTGTCAGAGTATCCCCATAGGTGTTGTTAGGGATGGCGATCGAGGTCGTCGTTGGCGTGAAAAAGTCAGTTTACGGCTTCTTCACACGCCGTCGACGGGTGGTTAAGAACTCATAGCCCGTAAAGGCATTGACAGTCCCTGCGACGTTCACAGTAAAGCGTGCTATCCACTGACCGGATAAGACGGGCTGAAGACTGGATTCACATGCACCTGATCACGGACAGCCGAATATACTATTTGGGCCCTCTCACCTTAAACAGATCTACCTCAATAAGCATCATCTTCTTCTGATACGTTAGCTGGGAATCAAAAATCGGTACCATAAACTTACTCTAGCAACCTTCAAACGTATGGTTATTGCCCATCAAGTGCTCGAGGAGTATGTTTTCCTCTTGACTCCAGCAGGTCATGAACTACATTAATCTCTTTCAAAAATGGCATTTAAAACTCTAATTTACAGTCACAGATACAATACAAGACGTCAGGAAGATGAGTTGCTTCCTGTATGGAATTAGATACAAACAGATCTACTACTCCTAAGTGTGTCAGCAAACATAGTGCCATGTCATTGCTTGAACTGCCCTGTTTCAGATGTTTTTTCCTGCCTTTTTACGCAAATTAATCTATTGTAGTTCTTCATTTGTCAGCAAGGTAACAGATATTTCATCATCAGTTTTCGCAAATGAAACATCTCTGATTGCATATGTCCTTATCGAAAGGGTCCGGACAAGTTGGGATGGACGGGACCATTACCTGGTCCATGGGATCGTTCATCATTCTAGTCCAAATGATTAACAATACTGCTAGGTATTGCAGTACAGATACCGTATATACGTTCTTTACGTAGATTACATTGTAGAAACAGTAGTGTGAGCAGAAAACTCCCGTTCATTTGTTTTCAGTGGGGCGAAGTATATTGAAATACGCTGATTTTATTGATGAAATCCCGGACGATGGTTTAACCGTTTGTCTCTGTCTGCCGTTGTCCAAACGACGCGGCCAACAACAGGAATTTCAGCAGGCGGATCCGTCCATCCCAGTACTCTGAATACAAATAGCGTGAGATAATTTGGCCGTACGACTAGTCTGATCTACGGAATGAGCGCACGCATGCTATCTGTGCTGCAATAAGCTAGTCATTTCAGTCGAAGCTAAAATAAAAGGGGCCGCTCGGGCTGGGTCATAGCCAAATATATTCCAAGTTAACCCAGCTCTGAGGCGAAGGCGGGTGCTATCAAGGATCTTTTCTTCGCCTTCCTAAGTTACTATAACGGAGGTCTTCAGTTCAGTCAATCTGCTTTATAGGGAGGACTGCTATTTTCTCAAATGTCATTTATTCACTTTCAGCGGAAAAGTGCTTCGCAGAGAACCACCCTGCATGAAGCAATTTGATTGCCTCCGTTATTTTTAATGAATGAGGTTTGGCGCACGAAACATCGCAGGAATATTGTCAGAGCACTAGACGACTCGAACATATTTTCATCTAGTTTAAGACCACGAATTCTATGAAGGAGAACTAGATTAATGTGAAAATATTCAGTATTCACTATCGCACAAGAGAAAAAAACAAAGTGTCAAGCGGGGTCAGCAGCAACTGCAGTGGATTTCAAATGAAGAAAGACGGAGTTGTTTGCTTTTGAGGGCTTGGTCGTCAAGGTTGATAGGATGGGAACAACTTTACTCCCCTCGTCAAATCAAACGAATGATAATGATTGCTGGCTGCAACTAAATTTTATAGGCGCTGTGATGCATCCTGCAAGAATTCGCTGGGAAGATTCTTCAAAAATCATCGAAATGGGGTGCTGTCACTCCGCTGCCATCCGGGCAGACACAATCAATGAGCGCAGTAGACTAATTCACATCCTTCTGCGAATGTTCCTCGAGCTCGATGGGGGGTGCTTCGTCGTCGTCGCCTTCGCGAAGATGGTTAGGCAGATCGTTCGCTATGCAGACGCTGGTAAGCCTCCTCGCAGGATTAACAAGCTGCTTCCTACAGAGGTGTGCGACGACTCCAGCGCCGTATGCATCGCCCATCACATTGATGGAAGTCCGGATGCGGTCCCTAAAATGAAACATGTGCCTACTAACATTGTATCGGTAGGTAATATGTCTGGTAGTGTATTGGTCTGCAGTTTCCTCTTCTGGTCAACTGGGATTCTTTGAAGCACTGTTTGCAAAGAATAAATTTGAATAAGGCCAAAGAGACGAACTATGCAGGACTTAATGACGTCATAAAATCGGGTGACCTCTTATCCAACTGCACACGGTCATTGCGTATTTTGACAGGGTAGTATGAGTAAAGCATGGTTACTAACAAACGGTTAGTAGCAAAAATAAAGACAAGAATTAAAACAAGGTAAACCTCCCTTTCAAGGGCGAAAATGTGTCAAACGTGATCATGCGACGATTGCGGTGCACAATTGAACTAATGAACGCCGCCTCTAAGTTGTTGTTCATAAGCACAACGGTCATTCCAGTTAGACCAACTAAAGACATTCCGCCTATACACGCCACACCAAACTGTATTTCTGAGTTTACATGTAGTTGTGGATGCAAATACACTGGGTGCACACAAAAGCATTTGGCAGTTCGGTCAGCTGCACACATGCCGAAGTGGCTGCTAAGGGCCGAAAATAAGGTGCCCAGGAGCTCGATTACGAAGCACCGCGTGGGGGCGACCCATACAATGGACCCGATGGCTGCATTTAAAGTCCTGCTTCGGCGACGGCTGGGCGTCTACTGCGCTTTACCGAGGCCCCAGCAATACGGAGGGGACAACCGGAACTCTGTTAGCAGCTGAATCCCGTGATCAACCTCACACTGCCATGGCAAAGATCGATAATGGACGTAACCTCATTCACATACCCGCTTTCTCACTTCCTCCCCACCCCCCTTCCCGTCATGAGTGACTGCTGTTCCGCGCGTCGCAGTTTTAATTACGCCTGATAAGTTTTCTCTGTAATCTGAACTCGCTTGCTTGGATGGTTTCCCTCCCCTTCGCCATGTGCACCCGAATATCAGGCCAACAATCCATGTTTCGTTTTAACTATCAATTTTCATCCTTCTTGGTCGATCTCTGAGTGAACAGTTTAACTTGTCTTGCAAATACGCAATGACCAAGTGAAGTCGAATGAGAAGTCACGAAATCCTATAGCATCATAAAATCCTGCGTATTTCGTCGTTTTTGCCTTGTTCAAACTTGGATTCTGTCAAAACGCCGTCACGTACTTTCAGCCGCCAACAAAGTAATTTGACAAGACCGCTCATCTTGGCCTGAGCAGTTGGAGTAACGCCCTTCGAAATACAACCAGAAGATCCATGAAAGTCTGCCAGTCGTCAGAAATTACTTGTTGTCGCCTATACTTCTCATCTTTTGAAATACTTTTTCAAAGAAAGGTAGTGAAGTGACAATAATACTGCTTAGAAGATTTCTGGCAACCAGATAAACTATAAGTTGCATAAAATGTGGAAAAGTATATGTAAAAAATGTCTTATCTAACCAAATCGTTTTGAGTGCCTGACTTTATATTCTGCATGAATTCCTTTCGAAAACAACATGTGTTTCGTTGCATATTTCTGCAGCTCAAACATTTTTCCGGGCGCTTGACATACTAAGCAACTTACAGCATCCAGTCAACAGCCAAGATAAGCGTGATGTCATTTACTGGAAGTCCGACGGAAGTTAAAACCAGCACCATGGTAACCAACCCAGCACTGGGCACGGAAGCGGCTCCAATGGCTGCAAGCGTGGCCGTTATGCTGGAAAGGAAGAAAAAAATAAGGCCATCAGTAGTACTAATTTTCAGGCAGGAAGATCCGAAATTTCGGTATGACTTGGACAGAACCTCTCCAAACTTGCTTTTATAGACTAAGAACACTTGAACGCGCAAAAGACTGGCAACACAGAGGTCTGATTGCAATTAGCCCTTTTTCACTGATTAGTCCTCGGCCGAGTCCAACTTCCAGACCTTACAAGTTGGATGACGGAATCAAGTGAGCTCAGAAGGGCCACAAAGCACATTTTATTCAAACGTTTTCGTTAGCCTTTCTTTGCCTTAAAATCAACGTTTATGAGAAAGGGGAGCTTGGTTGGATCATGGGGAACATGGGATGAGCGAAAGCTCCCCCACAAGTGAGTCGAACATTTGAGGGCCTGAGGCGCGTCCAATTTATGGTCACATACGTGAATCGCCGCATGCTAGGTAAGCAGTGTCATCTCCTCTTTGAAGGCCATGCTTTCGCAAGGCATTTGATCGCAGTTGCTTTTCTTTGTCCTGCACACGCACTGTTAGGGACCCGGCGCTTGATCCAGGGACCAGCCACTCGTACCAAGTCAAGAATCCCCCGTTTTGGAGCGTCTGGAGGCCTCTAGAGTCGTTATATCCTGCTTGAGATCTAGTATACGACAGTCCAGACAATACAACTTTTACTAATACTCACATACGCTTACATTATGCGAGTCGAAACTCTAAGCGTATCAAAAGCGCACGTTGGAATGGGCACACAGAAGCGCGAGTGACATCTCGGAGCGGTCAAATAATGTCCCTTGGTGATAAGAGAGGAAAAATAAGTGGGAACTTGCCAGTTAGCAAAACGCCAGAGTGGATATTATCAGAGATAGGTGGGTGGGAGCCTCAAGGACGGAGGCGGCGGCAATTACAGTAGGCTTATTCATACAGTTTACAGTCAGACATGCCAAGCAACGCTGATAAGCGAGTGCAAGCCAGTGCAGGTCTGGATCGTGGCTGGATGAAGAGGAAAAGAAACTTGCAACAGCTGCTGCCTTAATCTTTACGTTCTCTGCCGGTCCACCTCTGACGCTGCAGGGTCTGCATTAAAAGTCCAGTGTATGAAAACTGGTAGTGGCTTTGGTAGCAGGTGTACCCTAACCACCATGTACTAATCGGGATCCAGTCCCGTTTTGAAGAAGAGAAAACGGGAATCGTGTACTCTTTACATGTTTGGTGGTAATCGGAGCTCTATACGTAGGCCAGTTCGGGGCCTGCGTGTGTCTCCGCAGGTGGGTGTCTAACACTGTCCTCCCCCAAACGAGCGTCATGGTAGATGCGCTGGACCAACACGGGGGTCATATTGGATTCTGGCGGGCCTTACCGGATTCGCGCACCATAACAAATGCCAACATTTCGGGATGCGGTGGCAGACCCGGTTGCCGGCAGACGTCGCGCACACTGGGACCCCCTGCCGCCTCCACATTGTTCTTGTTGGTCAAAAACCTGGTCATTTGTTGTGTGTACCAGGGGTTGTGGAGTGGAATACCAAGGTGCGGGCTCGACCGTGCCATTCGTCTGCGACCTCCCCCGCATTCGGTCTTCTTGACTCTGTCTTGACACCGGGTCCAGGTGGGGGAGGAATAGAGAGTGCCGTAGATGCTGTGCAAGTCCGATATCACGATAAACTAGTTCACGCACAAGTCACCGTGTCTGCTCTCGCCCTGCTGTGGAGCACACGGTGGACATCATCGGTCGAACTGTCGTGCCGGGTGTCTAGCATAGCAGTCCGTCAACGCCAGCTTATCCACTTGATTGGGTGGTTCTGTGATCAGATGATGCAAAGCTCGACATATATGTAAGGCGTGGAAGGCTAACATACGAGGGAGGTGTTACAATATCCTTGTTGCCGTCGGCATAATTAAAGCCTTTTTTACTGAATACAGTTTTTGCAGACGGCCGAAAAGAGATACGTTCAAAAACCAAAATCCTGCCGCGTCTGAAATATCATGAGATTATTGTACAAAATAATTCCTGTTACAACCCCGCTTAAGTAATCCTTCCTAAGAGAAGACGCGGCTGTTCGACATTTTCTGACTGCAACCGCTCGAGACCTAAAATACCGGCCTAATTAGTATTCTTTCTAACAGGTAACTGCTAAAGTTCAGATATCATCTCAAAAATTATCCTGGAGACAAGCGTTAAAAATCCTCAAGGGGAATAAAGAAAAGATAAGAATACTGAATGTCACTATTTTCGTTTTCCGAAAGGGATTTTAATCGGTACAGTATCTCGAATCCACAGATTAGTTCCGCCCTTCCAGTCCTCCTCTGCAGCACGGTAGATATTCTTAAACGGATCACTGCCAGTATAGACTTTCGTTCATCCTGCATATACCTCGTTGGACGGAGACAAATTACTCATATGCCCCGTCTAGCCTTAGCAACATATGACCAAGTACTGAGGCACTCAAACCTGGATTTGCAGCGGCGGTACCGGGTACTTGATGACGGTTTGAGGAGAACTAATTTTAGATGGAAGCATTGTCGCCGACCGGTATTGATAAATCAACCTTAGCTTGTAAATCCAACGTCGATGAAGATAAATCCCATATCAGACCTTATCAAAGTGGGCTTCCGGTTTAAGTCAGCTTTTAACAGAACGACTTGGATTTGTGTTTCTGTTCTGCTACATATGCTACAACCACTCTTCCGACACTGACTCCAACGAGACAGCGGTTTTTGTTGTTAGTCACCGCAGGCGACAAAATTCTTCGCAGAGCCAGTCGTGCTGTAGGACGAAAATGTTGTTTGTAAAAGATGATCTTCAAAGGTCATTCGCACTCTCGAGTTTGTTTAAACAGTATGTCTATGGCTCATACCTGATGGTGATAAGTTGGCCGATCGAAAGGGGAATCTCATTGATTTGTGCTATGAAAATACAGGCCACAGCTTCGTAAAGCGCTGTTCCATCCATGTTTACTGTTGCACCAATAGGCAGGACGAAACGTGTCACACGGGGATCGATTCCTAGGGTCTCCTCCAAGCACCTGCGGATCGAAAAGGAGAGAGAGGGAGGGAGGTAGGTCATTGAGACATACTTTCATTGAATTATACGAAGTCCATCAACAGACATTTTAGAGCACAATCGAAAAACCATCTTAACGAAAAGGGATGCATACAATACCACTCCTAGCGAGTCTTCGATAATTTGAACCCTTCGTACAGCAGCTATTTTTGTGGGACTTTTTATCCAACTTTTTACAAGAACCAAAAGGAAAAATGGAGGAAAACCCCGGCATTTTCTGCTTTCCATCTGACTACTAAGGGCATGAGATTATTCTATCGAGGAATTTTGCAAGCCTTGCCTCGTTCACACGTCCCATTCACGCAAAGTCATTCATTGGCCAGCGGTAGCCAAGATGATTGGGCATACTGGATGGCGAGATATTTTGCCCCCGTCTAAGAAGGCTAAATTTAAGTCTGACACCTGTCGACAGCAGAATGTGCGCCCCGTCTGTGGTCGGTTGCTATAGCACCACCAAGTGGTGCTTCGCGCTGCTGAAACATATTCCTGCATGTTTACTGCATGATTTGTTCATCTGTGGATCAGCATTCGAGGTTGACTTTTCAAATAAGGCGGCTTCCGTGCCCGCTAGCTTTTTCTAAAAGGCATTTGACGTAACAAACTTGCTGACTTTAGAAAAGTTGCAAGGTAGGTTTGCCTCATTAAAAGTCGGTCGTAGCAGAGACCGGCTTCTGACAACATCTGCGGGCCAGAGAAATAGGCTTGTGTATCGGAGCAGAACCAATTTTTAAAATAGTACCATTTCTTTGAGAATATTTTTTGTATTTTAGGCATTCTTCTTGTTTAGTCTTAGTGAAAGGCTGGAGAAGATCCTTGTGCGACTTTGGGCAATAGGTGAACTGGAAATATAAAGACGCAGTTATTTGAGCATTGTTGTCACAGGACCTTAACGACAGGTCCTCATCTCTTCAGTCCGACCATCGGTCGAGGGACAGGCGTGTTAAACTAATTTGTGAACATACAGCCCCCCAACTGGTGGTGGACAATAGCCCAGCAGCGGAATAAGCAGGGTTGCCCTTCTGCCGAAAAAGAACAGCCGCGGATCCATCATCGGGTGGTGGCACTCGAGCCAAAACACACTGCTCTGATGAAGAAAGATATAGAGCAGAATTGAAATGCCTCTTCAAATTATTTTTCCACAACGGGTACCCGCGTGACTTTGTGCGACGGTGGATGAGGCATTATAAGTTCAAACAGAAAAATATTTCAAGCACAACGGACACCCAGGCACCGAAGACATTTACCTGATAAACTCTACCATACGTGAAAAAACGCAGCTGATGTCGTTGAAAGACAGCCGAAAAACATCGAGTACAGGTAGCACACCAGCCCACAACTGCCTTGCATACACAGCTTGTAAATCCTACGGACAGGATTGACTACCTTGATAGGGAAGGTTGTCTACAAGATCTCATGTGCCAGTTGTGACACTGTCTATTGTGGTAAAACTGAGAAGTCTGTTTCGACCCGTTAGTAGTGGAGAGACGAGATCATCTATCCCAGGTGGTCATGCACACACTGGACGCTGGACAAAAGTCTGCATGGGAGAAAATTCACACTGTTGGCGCCTGCCCAGTGAGCAAGAACCGGGAAGTCCTAAAAGCAATGCACTCAGATGAGACATGCACCAATCGGCATATCGATTTAGATGCCACATACAGGTTTCTCAAGGAAAACACGGAAGGAGAGCAACCAATGCCGAGGGGATGACGAAATACAACTGACATGCATTGGCGCAGGCTTCGGCCAACCGCGGAATCAATAGTTCGACAGAATTAAATAGTTAACTGTTTTTATACATGACCCATAAGTCTGGGGACGAGTAAGAGAACCAGTCTCGCGACTGTTTATACAAGATCCTAACCACATGTACTCATTCCCTCAGCCCATATCACCGGTAGAGGGGGTCTTGCGTGCTAAAGAACTTGGTGGATATACAGCCTGGCAGCCGGTGGTCGACAATAGAACAGTTTTTATCAAGGGTTAACGGCGAAATAGACAAGGTTGCCCTTCTGACGAAAAAACAGCTACGGATCCAGTATCAGACGATAGCACTCTGATGTGGCTATCGCGAATCTTCATCAAGAGCATTAGGCATCGAAACGCCTAAAACATTGTTTGTAGTCTTGGCCTGGGCTCGAAACGAAATAGAGTAGTCAGACAAGGTTTCTATACCGGTTATGATGGAAAACAATCTAGGTATAATTAATGTTGATTTTTGATTTGCATTTTTTCGACCGCACAAATCACTCCTGAAATCAACAGATACATAAGTGATGACTTTCTCAGGAAACTTTTAATGAAGTACAAATTCATGCATACTTCCATCTAGGGAGGCACGACACATCAATTTCTTACATACGCATTTGGGAAAAAATTATGACATCGTCAAGTTTGTAGCTCATAGGAACGTATTTCACTTTCTAAACACCGAAACTTGTGAGAATTATTGCGGCTGGTATTCACTTATTTGGTTATCCAATCTCCACTGATTTATAATACAGACGTCATTATGCACAATGCGACCCGGCTATACGGCAATAATTTGCGAACGCCAAGAACCTTCTTCAAAAGAACACAAAGTCTGTACAAACCAGCATGTTTGGAATGGAAGGTCAGTACAACTGTTAGCATTTACAATAGTTTGCCTGAAGAATACAATTATAAATCAGCCACAAAGTTGACAATGTAACGCTGTGATGAAATAATTGGATAAAACTATTGCTAAAATAGGACAACTAGTGTGCTTATAAGATGCAAAAATAATCAACAACGGATGGTCTAGCATGAGCCTCTGACATAAGTTCGCCCCTGATGCACGTCACACTTAGGTCGGATGTGGTTATGTAGCCCCACCGGAAGTAAACAAACCCCAGTCACCTCTAATACGCTACCGGTGGTAGTAGGGGTTTTTACAGATGGGGTCGGGGAACGCACAGGTGACGAGGGCAAGTAGTTGCATGAAAAATAAAAGCTATCAGGAATGCAGGGTTGTACCTTGAATGGTTGAGAAATACTTGCGCTAAGCCCTAATTATAACCCCTAATCCTAAACCCCGACCCCTAACCGACCCCGACCATAACCCCCAAGCCGTAACTATAAGTCCTAGCCCTAACCCCTAACTCTAACCCTTAACCCCAACAGTATTACGTCCATCAGTTGGGGCTACCAAACCACATCTTACCTTTGTGGATTGTGTTTCGCTACATGAATAGCCTTTTTCACAACAACATAATCATTTTGAGCTTTGAAAGGTTTCAATAAAGTTCCGTTGAGGAGGCAGTTTTAAAAGGCTTGTGCTTATTTTCATCCTTGTACGGTGTCCAAATCAACCATCGCACGTACTAGAGTGTGGAGCCTGATGCACCACTTTCCAGTCTAGCAACATGGACTCCTTGTAACAGGACGTCATACGATGGTAGAGTTGCGCTCATTGATAGTTCTTGAAGAATTCTCTCGTCCCGTTGTGCCTTAGGGGCTCTCTCTTGAGCCCAACCAGCAGCCGCACAGCGGCGCATGATATGGGCAGAATGTTATTACCGACAAAGACCAGGGAGAGTGGAATGGTTATTTCTGGCTTATTAGTCGTCGTCGGCCAGTCATACCTAACCCCGAATTGTGGAACACCTGGGGCTCGATCCCGCGACCCGTTGATTAGAAGGCCAATGCCTCTATCCACTGGGCCACGGGCTCTTTGTCCTGTCGGTTTCGATAGGGAATGTACAATGATAAACGGGTGCTCACTGGTCGTCCATAGGAACTCACTCGTCGCGTTGCGGATGCCATACCGTTCGACCCGAATAGTTCTTCGACTTGATCCAGCCCAGCAGGTCATTCATGTAAAGACATGAAAATGAGCTGTCCGTGAAGGAAACCTTTAGGAAGCCATACGTTTACTCCGGCGGTAACGACCTAGTTCTTAAGGTAAAACAAACAGCATCGACGGCATGTCCAAAGCTCTTGGCAACTTTGCTACGGGGGCCATGATATCCGTGAGACAGGCTCGTCTCTAGCAAAAACCACAATGAACGTCATAAAAATAAACAACCCTTCCGTTGCCGTTTGACGATTCCCTCCATCACCTAGCAGCGGATTGACACGAGACATAATGCCCCCCTATTGTGAACCTGTCTCCATGGGGCACATCTTCGAGCAGATCAAAATATTTGTTAGTTTGCTGGCGTCTGTGAACTTACGATAATGTCGCGATCGCAGAGCACTGCGGTGAGGTACCGGACTGATTTACCTTTGACATTTTAGTCCCATTTTCTTTGCCCGGATTGCTTGTTTGAATGTGACGAGAAACAACACACCTGTACAACCCGCCTTGCTAGCGTGCTCTGCTGTCGTGTTCTGTTGTCAGTTTTCTTAACGTTCAAAATCTTTACATTATTCACTGCTCAATTTCCCTTGCTGCTTTTAAGACCAAGGGCTCGTGAGATATAACTCGTTAGTTTGTGAGAACATTACCACTAACGACAGCACTATGAAGGGAGTTTCAGTTAGTTCTTCAATAACCTCTCTCAACAGTCAACGTGGAGGTCCGTCCGGGTCGATCCAATTCCTTTAATTCAAACCTTGCAATGAACTTGAAAAACGAAAGTGAAAAACCTGTGCCGAGGGCATGACGTTAAATGTCTACTTACTGGCAGCTCCTGTCCTTTCGGCAGAATCTCCGGATCGAAGTTTTGTTTCCTGTGGCCTCAGTTGTGCCGGAATATTCACGATTTTCACTGTTTATTTTTTATGCTTTGGTTTTAGCAGCCGACTGTTCTATTTTGAGATCCGCTCCCACGAGCTATTTTTGTGAAAACTGCTTTGCCGCCTTTTGAACAATCATAGTATCTTGTTAAGTTTTTTTAAACAGTCACTATCCAGGACTTCTGTTTTTAGTTGATTCCTTCTATAATGCTTGCAATGAACCACTTTGCCGTTTATCCGAATCATTTATGAGTAAGCAATATTCGTTCTTTATTTGCAAAAGACGCTTTCCAATCTGGCCCAACAACCATTAACGCGTTCTTTCAACAGATTTCGCTTGTTCATGCTGTTACCAATTGGACTCAGAAGTTGAAAGTCGCCGTTCAAAACACGTTTTGTAGATCTTTTATTCCCTCCGGACGGGAAGATGTGTTGATCTCGCATAAGTGACACCTTGTCAGTCAAACACATTGCAGAACCGATGGTTGCTTCATCCGAATCCTTCCGCGCCTTTGTGATAGTATTATTCAAATCAGAAGTGGCTATACACTGTCGACAAAGACGTATGTGGGGCTTTTTGAGGTTTTTAGGGTTTAGCCCTCGTCGTTTAAGGACGTGGTCCATCGAGAACATCAGATCCGCCTCTAAAGACTTTCACAAGTGGTAGTTGAGGATAGCCAGATCAGATTTGATCACAGTCCCATCGAGCGAAAACAATAGTAGGTGTACGTGTCATTAAAAACGAATAGGGAATTTCCTATTATTTAGTTTATTTTTTCTGTGTTCACGCAGTATCTGTGCATCGGAAGCCAACTTCTCCTCGCAGAATTTATTTTACACTCGGCCCTCAGTCTACTGCGAGTTCTGAATCTGAATGCTCGACGCATCTAGATAAAACGAGATCAACCTATTCTTCGATCCGACTTTCGCAAACTTTTTGTGGAAGTTGTTGTTTGTTTATAAGCTCCCCTCATGTACCCTTATTGCCAATAGCGCACACTTTTTTATTCACCGTTAGGTTTACGTACGCCGCTCGAGAGCTTAAAATGAACCGTGGTTCTTTTTCTGAGGTAAAAGTTCTCTTGGGCTTAGTGGTCTAAACTAAAGGTAATTAAACCGTAGAGGACTGTCTAAGGCATCACATCAAGTTCGCACTTAGAAGGGCCTACTGCTAAGACGTTTTTTGTCGCTAACAGCAGAAATCAGGGAAATTACTTAGAAAACATTCTATAAGAGATAAAGTCAGACAACCGATCGCTGAATCAAAACCTAGTTGTCTACTTCCGAGCTTTTACAGTCACAGACATCAGTAGTGCTAGTTAATGCCAAATGTTTGCTGCGCTTCATAACCTCTGGCTTTGGATCGGAGCAAGACAGTAGCCTTTTGTACGCTCTTATTAGGTTGCCGCGCCCAGTTTTCACAAAACAACCCGCCGATTATATGCGTTAAGTACTAGCGGCAAAAATAGGCGACTACGCCAAGTACCTGTTCCTCCCCCATAAGCCGAAGTTACAGTTAGCCGTAGGGAATGTTCATGGTAGTGTGAATATAAAAAAAGTGTCATCGGCTTACTTGAATGTGATGGGCAGTGTGGCTGAGCTAGACGCTGTGCCTAGGGCCATGAAGAAGGCTTGGAAAAGTCCCTTGAAGTAGACCAGAGGGTTCTTCCGACAAACCAAGAAGTAGATCATCATGAGACTGAGGAAGAGATGGATGAACAACCCACTGATCACCGTCAGCATGTAAAGACCGAGACCTGCAGCTGTTCCAGCAAGGTCCTTCAGTCCGATGATTTTTCCGATGATGAGGAAGACGATGCCAAAGGGAGCGTACCTGTCCCCAGGTTTGGGGGGGGAGAATTTCAATACATATAACCACCGCAAAGGGTCGCCTCGGATCACACAAGTGTGGCAAATTATGAGTAAGGTCACATTAAGAAGCTTCTAGGCAGTAAAGTGCACTAGTGGATCTCGAAATTAAACGGGGTACTGATAGAAGGCTGCACTGACCACATGATAAGTCGCACCAGACGCATGATAATTTCGTTCATGATGATGAAGAAGTCCAGCATGAGCCGACCGGCCTCGCCCATTGTAGCAATACAGAGACCAAAGGCGACAGAGAATGTCACGAGACCTAAAAGGATACCATAATGGGCGAACAAGTCACTTGCGTTGTTTCAATTTTCGTCGTCGTTAAAAGAAAAGACGAGGAACAGCCAATCAAACGAAGGTCGCCACCCAACGGAAGCATTCACTTTTAAGGGCTAAGAACACAGTTCCATAAACGTGGATTCCTCGATGATAAGTGGTCATTGCTTCCTTTACGATTTTAGATTTGATCAAAACTTGTGTTTTGGAAAAAAGTTAGTCGGTGGGTATGATGGCATGGTAAAATGGCAAGTCAGCGTAATCAGCGTTCGAATTGTGACTCGCACTAGGACAGGAGTTGATTGACTCCCTAAGTGCTCAAGAGACTTTCTCAATTTCGAGCTAGAATTTAAAAGTGAAAAAAGGTATTTTTGCAAGTCATGGGAATAGGAACACTCCGGTGGCCTTGCGTCAAATTCCAGGAAGGGTGGGTGTTACCTTGTCCTTACACCACCCCTAACCCAATCTCTAACCTTAACCATAAACCTAAACCCAACTCTAACCCTAAACTTAACGCTTACCCTGATCTTCCTGGTGATTAGTGTTAAGCCCCGGAATGGGAAAGTCCTATTCCCGCGTCTGGCCGGTATTTTCTTTCAAAAATTCGTTTCATTGAAGGTGTGTTGGTAGTGTTTTTACATTTTCTGAGTTCCTCACCAGAAGCAGGTTACTTGGACTAAGGTATGTCGTGAAGCGTATGGTTTCCACTCACAAAAAATGTATAGATTAATTACCCAGCCAAGTCGCAACTTGTGGCGCACAATCTAAGTCCGCCTCAAAAGATCTTCTCCAAGTTCGCGCATTAATTTCCTCGGAAATTAAACAAGACACAATCTGGAGTCACCGGAGACTTGGTCAGAAGACAAGATTCTGAGCAATAAATAAGCTTGTTATCTTTATTGGCCGCCGGAATGGCACAAATAAAGATGTAATTATTACACAGCAGTGGCGTTTGTCGGTTTATCCTGATTTCGGGATGTGAACTGGAAGTTCCGTTTTTTCTTGAAATCCGGGAATTGAGCTTTCACCAGCAATTAATAATATCACCAAAGAGGGTTACCAATAGGTTGTGTATTAATACGGGATGGGAATTAATAAAGTTGTCAAGTCGTTTCGTCACTGTCCCCGTTCGCTTTAACGTACAAAATTGCGCAACATCTGTGCAGAGTTTACAGGCGCGAAGAACTGATTCAAGGCCTCCACAAAGCGTTTCACGAGAACGTGGGCTATTTGACGAAATCGATCAAAAGGGATCCAACATTCCTTAATTCTTTCAAGCAAGTTCGAGCCATGTGGTATGTCTGTCGGGCTTCACTTAAGTTTTTCTGAAATAAGTCGGTCTTATTCTCTGTCACTCACCAACTGGCTTCTTCATTTGTTTTCAAGGCTTATGAAAGGTAAGCATTACTTTATAGAGGGGGTGATCAGGTACGGGAAAGTGGACGCCATATTTCAGTGTCCTAACTTAAAACCCAAACCTACCCCTCCTAATCCTAACCCTAACTCACTTTGAATTTAGTCTAAGGCCACTTGTAACCCCGAGGGAGATGTATATTTCCGCGCGCTACCAAAGGGACTGACAAAAGCAGAATCTTTAGGATTTTTCACGGGATAATTTGTTTTATTTTTGACTCTAACACCTAGAAGTAAAGAGTATTGCGGTACTAAGTGAAGTCCGACAACTAGCACATTTGATTTTAATGAGTTTAGTTGATTATCTAACTGTAATAAAATAGATGTGATTCAAGCGCACGTCAAGGCTGTCTGACAGGTACTGAGAATGCAAATAGCCAACAAAATGAAACTCGTCATCTTTCGTCTTTGAGGCCGTCAAACTATCTGACATTACTAATGCCTAAAAACACAGTTTTTAGTCAGGACTAGACTATTACTTATACCATATGCCAAAAGACATCAGGGAAACTGGTACAATTTTTAACCTAACGTAGGAAATCTGCATGGGTTAGGCTACACTTATATGCGTGCAAATGATCGAAAACGTTCCTAGATGTTTTAAATTAGCAATTTTTCCTTACTTCAACTGCTAAGTTGCAAAAGGCGATTTCCTTGCACAACGAATTTAGAAAATGAGTTTTTTTAACCTTTTCCAGGAAGAACTGATTACTCATTAAAATCGGCTGGAAGCAATTCGTGAATTATTTGATACCCAAGGGGGCTTCAGCTTTCTAATCTTAAAAATCAATGCGGAAACTTGGAGTTAATCATTCTGAATGTAGCTTCATAAGTCGACATGGATGTGTGGGTCGAACTCCATCAGCTGCAACAGGATAACGGCGTAGCATTCATGTCCTTCCATCTGACAGCTAGGGGCATATACGGGTTGCATGAGATATCCTACTGACAGCACAGGTACGATCTGAAAGCCCAGACACGTGTTTCGCCGATGTTTTGGATATAGGCTTCAGTCAGAATAATTCACCTCAAATTAGCGCATTAATTTCTGAGGAGATTAAACAAACTGGAGCATATGACATAAAACACATGGAAACGCTTGGGACTCAGTGGAGAGGCGGACGTCTCACAACTATATCACGCAGCGTCAGAATATTGGCAAAATCATAGCTCGGTTTTTTGCTAGTACATGTGCAGTCGGTATGGTAAATTATACAATCTAAGTAGAGAGTTACCCTAGTGTGATTGACTAGGTGACTTAACACCGCTAACACAGGCCGTAGTTTCGTCAGTGGGCACTGCTGCCTAGGGCAGCTACTCGGAGTTCTGTGCACAACAAAATACCCCTTCTAACACCTGTCTTTTCCTACTGATCCGGACTTGGATTGTTGATTGTGGCGCTCTGAGTAATCTTACTACTTAGACACCACAGTTCCACCCACCAACAAGTTTCTCATCCTGTACTAAAACATCAGCAGCCGCAATACTATTTCAGCAAGTGAAGCGGACAGAGCACATTTAAGGTCAGAATTGTACCCGTTTGACATGTTCAATCCCATTATAGAGCCGAGTAAAAGGGTAACGATCCGACCATCGACCGACCACAAGGGGTTCCAAAACAGAGTCGGAGCGGGCATGGAGACAGGAGCGTGAATTAAAGTGATAGCAAGCTAGCAGGACATGTAACAGACCTTTTTCCTCTTCTCGCGACTGGGCTCGATCTCCTGACAGAGTCAGGAAGACCGGAGGCGGGAGAAGGCGCAGGTGACCATTGCGGCGAAAACGCGCACTTAGGTGTACCACCACACCCCGTGGAGCAGAATTTTTCACAACAGGAGGAAAAGGTGGGACGGCACGGATTCTAAGTGGCGCGACGTTCGCCTGCAATCAGGCTTGCCGACACACACACACACACAGGTTAGGGCGCATTAAGGGTTACATCAGGAAGGAGCCATTAAACTTAACTCCTGGAGCTTCGCTCACTGCGAAATACTTCCCTGGAGACCTAATTATTCTATCGGTTGGCAGCTTTCTAAGTCGCGACTCTTAGCTCATCGTAATAAATTCAAGCGCACCAGAGTCATAATAAATGCGGAATATGCCGATTTGTCGTGGGGTTGGTTTCCCCAGTGACGGTCTCTCCATCCATTCCCCCTCCCGTGCACCAGTCGAGCTGATGACGGCAGTGCCTCATTAGAATCCAGCCCACCAGTAAACCACCGCTGACTTCTTGGGTTAGGGGCAACCCTTGGGAGGTCGATCAGGCAAGCTACATCTGCGTATCGAATTTAAAACGTCAAGTTTCTGATACACTTCGCGTTGTCTGTGCATGGCACCCATCTCTCAGCCAACGGAGAGGCAGACTACACTGTTGTACCCATAGTAGAAGTGTCAGTCAAGCTACAGGCGCCCGCAGAACATACACACGCACACATTCTTGATGGAAACTGCAGAACGTCGTGTTTACGCCACAGTCGGCCCCAGCGAAACGGAGTAGCATACTGTGAGTGCAGCGAGCCTGTACGCGCGGTCTCCTCTGTGCAGGTCAGTCGTTAAGCGACCGATACCGGAAGCAGATTGAAGAACGCTGGCGGTCTCTACGAGACGCTTGTCTGTTACTGCTTTCACCTCCTCGCAAATATCGTCTTTTAGGGTAAACAAACTTGAAGGTAAGTAGACTACTAGGCGTATTAGCGGGGTTCTGCTCTAAAACAATTTACGTCAGTCTCGCACAGTAGCCAGTGTCCCACTCCGCCTCTAGTATAGACATGAGATACTTTTAAAAACCAGTATTTATCACGTGTTGGACTCCGGATAGTCTAGTTAGACGTGAGCCGTGAGACCGAATTCGAGGACAGGTTGTCAAGAGAACTGGCTACTTTCTGTTTACGTCAGGGTTTTTAGACTTTCAGCAAAAAACATCACCACAGTCGTCATGGCAAGAATAAAATGCTGTTTTAGCAATGCTAGGTAAAAATAAAGACAAGGATTTTTCAAAGTCAGGACACGGGAACAGGCGATCTTAAGGTAAATTCTTAGAGTTTAGGGTCACTTGCATTACGGGGACACCTATTCCTATATCGTACTTGTAACAGTTTCCGCTGCTGCATGGCGCTAACGCGAGGGGATCGCTCCCTCCAGTTAGTAAACGGTGGTTTATAATTTCATCATAAAGGACGGACTTTGAGCAAGGTGATTAGACCAGGACTTGCCATATCCGCTGTTTGTGTTTAGTATCCAGACAGCGGTAAGTAAACCCTCGGTAAATCCAACAGTCGGCTATAAAGTCGCTAACCCGCAGCTTCTAGGCAGGACGCATTCCCTACACTCCATCCTAGTCTGGCACTACTCAAAAGGAAAGTTGAACACATCCGTGGCTAACTGGCAGGATAGTATATGCCAAGTTCGGTTACGCCTGGATTTGCGATGGACTAAGGTGCCTGTTAAAGACAAACAGAAAGTGACATCGCAGTCCCCGAGTTTCCATCTCCAAACAAAAGTGTGAAAAGAGGACGGGGAACAAAGTTTTCCTATTAGCCAACACGTCCTACTCTTCGAATTATATACGAGATACTTATAAAACGGTCGATATAAGCAAAACCGAGTCCCTTTAGCACAGTAATTTAGCATGTAAGTGAAAAACCCACTAGGCTGAATTGGGACTCTTGTGTAGATTTATATTATTTGCCGGCCAGATAGCAATAGGCTGACTGCTTTGACGTACCAAGGACGTTTGTGCTTTCAAGAAATCGCTGTTCTAGAACCTCGATCACGATGGGTTGCGCACTTTCATTAGGCTGAAAAAGGAAGATAAAAATATCAGTATAATAGGAAATAGTTTGTGTCATTTTGTTCGGGTATGTTTTCAAGAAGCCAAGTGAGCCGATCGAATGACGCCATTCTAAGCAACCCCGAATCTCGGGGGATTTTGTGGAACCAGATTACTTCGAGTATCACCATTTATGTCAGATCACGCTGTCAGCCCTCTAATTGTGGCACGGACAAAACAAACAGTTAAGTTTTAGTGTGTATCACGGTTTCCGACTTTTTGAGAAAGAATTAGGGTCAATGACGTTTCCAGGTCCCATTTCGAGGAAGACTGCAAAAAGGTGAACCGCCTACTTTCATGACTGCTAAACGATCTGATCCTCCAAGGTATTACAAAACGCCTTCTTGTTGGCATGTTTATAACAGGAATTACTGTTTCAATTACATAAAAGAGTTTGCACGGCTCCAGTTCTCGAAAGGAACGACCTTGACCGAGAAGCATGAAAGGATCTCCTCTAATGGCAACCGCCCGCCTATGAACAAAGTTCGCTTAAAATCGGCACATAAAGGGACACCTTAGAATCGTTCCCCAGCCTTACTGAGATTAGTCGGTTTATACTAGGAAGTACTGCGCTGGAGAGAAAAAGTGGTTTAGCGTCCTTTTAAGATGCTTTTGTGCATTTGACCGAACGAACAACTGTAATCTAGGATATAGAAGTGAATTGAGGAGCGGTTGTTGGAAAAAAGAATACTCGAGAAACATTAACTCAACGTCTGAATGTTATTTGGATTATGATTCAGAGCTTAAGTTTCTAAAGTACATGGAACTTGACTGAGTAATTAGTGAAGGTGCGTAGGGACTGGACGGAGGAAGAAGAATGAACAGCACTAATCAGGGCCGATGATTCAAGTCCACCTCATCCCTTCTTTTTAGCCAGCCACAAAAATCCAAACCCAACCAATGTGTTAGTCTGTTTAATTACCATAATTGGCCGGCGTATACTACTGTCCTTAAAACGAAGGTTTTTATGCACGCTGAGAATCTCTGACTTAGTGAACGAGAAAACGCGTACGTTTCTTTGTCGCCTCGACACTCAACTTTTTACTAACTTCCAGATGGACCTTGCCAGGAACAAAGATATAGGCGTGATGTAAATACCAAAACTCGTGAAATGCAGTCTGAAACTTTTTAATATGCTGTGAAGTGGCACACAGCAGATTGATGCTGCCGCAAGGAGCCTTAAGTGCACGTCAGGTCCCACTGGCAACACGCTGGCTCTTGAGGCATCAACCTCATAGTTTTCTGTCCCAGTTGCATTCGACTAGTACGAATCTTTTTATAAAGAGGGCTTTGAAGATTGCAGTAAGGGCAAGACACTGTAACCACACCCCCTACGCCTTTTTGGAATTCTTTCCTATGCGCCATCCTAGTCGCCGTTTGTATAGCCCAGTACAGATGATGCGAGGGACAGCTTGTCTGTATGGAACGCCTGAACGAGTTGTCCAGTCTTGTCAACCACTGTATCCGCACCCATCTTTGATTGTCCTGATTTTTTCTCGGCATCGAAACACCGTGGATCACAGAGGAGAGGGTGACGCAGACACGACCCAAATTTGCTTCGCTATAAACAAATAAACACGCAAGTCACTGCTACTGAGCACACCTCGTGCGATTCCGGCGGACATCGTCGCTCGCAAAAATTGAACCGATTTGTATTTCTCTGCGGGTTTTCTTTCCCTAAATAACCGACAAACTTAGGGTCAGATGTCGTTATGCAGCTCCACCTGATGTAAACAAACGCCAGCCACCTGTTTTACGGGACCAGTTGTAATAGGGGATTTTACAAGTGGGGCCGGGGAACGCACAGGCGACGAGGTCAAGTAGTTGTATGCAAAGGAAAAATTGTTGTGAATGAGCGGTTGTGCTTTTAGTGGCTGAGAAATAGCTGCCCTAACCCCTAACCATAACACCTTACCCTAACCCCTAACCCTGACCTTAACTCCAACAGTATTGCGTCCATCAGGCGGGGCTACATAGCTACATCTTAGCAAAATGTTTGAGTGAAGTTTATGCATGATAGTAAAGAGCACTGGCTTAAAAGAACTCCCTGGACGCTTACATTATCATTCGTGTAGCTTATCATCTTCAAGATTTTGATCGAGTCTACGACTTACGCAATGTTATTCATATATATCGCAATATTCACTGAACTTCATACAACCTCTTTAGATGGACATTTAGGGTTATAAAGAAGGCTCAATTGCAGTAACAAAACGCTATTCGCTCGGCATTTCGGATTCATCCTCCAGTTCGTTATCGTGGTGGACGGAGCCAGCGAACGCAGACGGCGGACAGTTCTTATTATCAGAGTGCACTGCGATGTCAGATATACAGAGAGTATCTTTTTCACAACCACTTCCTGTGCTGTGTCCTTTTGCAAGGGCAGACCATATATGGTTGCGTCAATTGGCTTCAGATGGTAGCAAGGGCGCTCACGGATCTAGTTACAGGGCGGAACGTGTGCGTCCCGTTTTGCCTTGGAGCTCAGTACTGAGGCCCTTACGAGCAGCCTCATCACTGGTAGGCACGCTCATATTACAGGTGATCTTGTGCTAAATTTTCAGAGGGGTTAAGGCCAAGACTAGATCTTCGGTTACAGGTTAGCTTAAGGCTAGGGTTAGGATAAGACACTGCGGTATGTACCACTAAGAAATTTGCTGCAAGGTCACCTGTAATATGGGGACACCTAGTACTGTGTCTTAGCCAGATATTAACACAGGAGGAATGTAAACAAAAACAAGGAGACCTAAACGACAATTTCTGACTTAATAATCATAATGGTAGAAGGGCACGCACCGATGGCGTTAGAGGACTCCCTCGCCCCGTTGTGCCTTGGGGTCCTCTCTCGAGCCCTGGCAGCAGCCGCTATTTTGCTGCATTACGCACTGCTATGTGACTGCAGTGCGGGCTCGAGAGGGGGCCCCAAAGCACAACGGGGCGGGGGAGTTCCCTAACGCGATCGGTGCGCACCCCTCTACCATTGTTAACATATCCGATGGCAACTGACAGGACAGCGAGCACGTGGCTCAGTAGTTGGGACGTTGAACTTTTAACCAACAGGTCGCGAGTTCAAACCTCGAGGGTCCCATACCTCGGGGTGGGGCATGACTGGTTGATGACGGCTTGTAAGTCGGAAATGGCCAGCCAGCCAGCCAGAACTCACATAACGTAAGGCTCGAACCCGAAGTTTGCGATCATTATGTAAGACAAAAGTTTTAATAAGACGCGATTTTCTATGAAGCAATCATGAGCAGGGAAATTCTAGCACATTCTTTTCAGGCTGAACGATAAAACCGGTGTATGAACAGAAAGTCTGCGTAAAACGCAGGTTACTCCAATTTTTACTTCGCATCGATTGATGTCCAGACAGTCGCCGAGATAAAACACATCCAAAATCTACTGTATAACCGTGAAAGAAATGAATTTAAGTTGTGATCCGGGTAATTGACTTCCGTAACTTCACCTGCCTAGCGACCTCTTGCTTAAAAATTTATGAAACAAATTCGGTCAGTTGTTCATTTGTGTATTGGTTCATCTTGGGTTTTTATGAGAGAGAATGAAGCCAAGGTTTCAAAAGAGCGCAATCCAAAATTTCTGCTCTGTTGGATAAATACAAGCTGTGCGTGTGTAAACAACTGTTCGGGAAAATCATTGTCTGGTAACCAGGTTTCTCCCTACTTTTCGAGGACAGTCTCGGTTCGGTGAAAACCGCACAACGTTTCAAGGGAGAAGATCAGTTCTTTTGCGGACAGCCAGGACGGTCGTGTCTAGTGTCCTTGTTCAAGGCCATTAATCTTCTCAGTGAACGCTTCCAGACGCGCTGACCTGAAGCCACCTGACCGATTTCGACTCCGGCCCTCGGGTGTCTGCAAAGTCGGAGCCGTCCATGCGTCACTTGAAAACACCATCCCTCTGTGCGAATGCAGCACAGGCCACTTGAACGCCACCCCTCGGCAAATACAACACATACCAAGTGTACACCACCTGAACTTGCCGCAAAAGCCTCTAGAAGCAACTGCCACCACTGTCGCCCCGACTTCCAGGCATGATTGAATGCAGTCAGCACTAGCCCTGGCTTCACCTGCGGCCATTACCACCTGAGAGGACAAATTAGGGTACTGTATACAATAAACGCTTCACTCTAGTGACTTCTGTCTGCTACAATTTGGGATTTGGTTTGATGATTGAGCGCTCTGTGTACACTCCCGCATCTTAGCCGCTACAGTTCACAAAATGCCTTTGCTTAACGAGACATACAAGGGATTTTAACAGTAATGGTTTACTTCATTTATTAGAACGCAACGTCGTTGGCTGAAAGTTCACACATACTTACAGAGTTTCTTAGTTAAAACTCGCAACTCACCTTGACTGCATCCGGTATGACGGTCTTGTTAACTAACGTGCTGGATACCTGTTGAGTGCAGGCTTGGATGATGTTTTCGGGAAACATATTTCTGAAAAGGATCATCAAAGGGTAATTTCAGCTTCTCTGGCCTTCGCAGTCACTTACAGAGTGCACTGTCAGACAAATTGCTTATAAAACACGGCTCTTAAATCTTGGAAAAGATTTACACGGATTAGAATCGGACGTGTTTACTTTGAAAAGCTCCATTTTCGGGACTGACTCAAAGAGTGATTGGTTCAATAGGAAGTATGTAACAAGTAAGGTGCAAATGCAGTCTGCATTTCGATTTTTTAGGATAGCATACGCCAAACAAGAAAAAAAGCAGAAGCACTGACTGAAATCCTTCACAATATTTTGAAAAACTGAAGATAATTTCTGTTCCTAACAATACCGATAAAAGAGAAAGATAATTTCGACTTATTGTTAGTGTCAAAAGCTTTCTCTTAAGATAGGGTCTTGACAAGCGAACACCGCGAAAGAATTAGTTACCTGTTCTGTCCGGCCAACATATGTAATTGCCTACAGGCATCAATACTTCATGGAGAACATATAATATTAACACCACCTCTTTTGCTCTGTCGCGATTAGCAGTGGGTTGAGGCAATTTAATTGGAGCACGTCTGTTCAAATAAACGCAGTATTTTCCGGTAACTTCTCTGTTCCGTAGTTTTACGTAGTAGTTTGTTTCCATTTTGCAATTCTCAGTATCATTTCAAACCAACACTTCTCATTTCTTGCGGCCAAAATCCAGTCTCAATCACACGTCCAATCTGAGTTTTCGGCAAGATCCTATTTCATCGCCGTGCCTGTTAGGGGTTGAGGTTAGCGGTAAGGATTAGGGATTGGGGGTTAAGGTTAGGGATTGAAGTTTGGGGTTAGGATTGGGGGATAGAGTTAGGGGTAAGGGTGGGACTTGTCTACTGCAGGTACGGCTACGAAATAAGATCCGACCGAATCTTCGCCTCAGAATTTAGTTCATAGTACTGAGGAGCGTTACTGCCTTATGAGCCTTTCAAGCTCGGTAGATTATCTAGTACAATAAATACCTAAATAGTCTTCGGAGTATAAAGAAACACCTCTCTTTTCGACAACGTCTGTGTTTGCATGCGACACGTTCTAGATTCTACCGCATACATCCTTATAGTACGGAATAGGGAGCTGTCGGCTGATTTATATACAACAACAGTGAAATGAATGTATTTATATTGATTCTTGTTCCTGCTGTGTTATCTACCCTACTCTCAGAGTCATGCATCGCTTCCGTGGTCAAAAGGGCCGGGCTTATGATGCTGAAAATGCCAATTCCGGGAAGCATGCACTGACCGGAACAGATCCATAATGGCATCCAAGGTGTTGGGGCCCTTCGCAGTGGCGTGTGTGCCAGCGCCACGCGTCTCCTTGATAGCAGGGCTTCCAGGGTGAATGGCCACTACGAGGACAATGCCGATGACCACTGCGAGTAGGGTTGTCGTGAAGTAGTAGATTAACGCGTAGGTCCCGATTTTTCCGCAGGATTTGATGTCCAGATTGGCCAGACCTGGAAAACGAAATGGTCTCAAAAGCATTTAATGCGGAGTGATGTGAAGTGAGGAATAGATGATTACGCCTTTTTCCGAACGCCTCTCTTACCCCCGGTGCACACATCGAGCACAGGAATTCCCAGAATCTTAAATTTTTGAATCGCTGTAGGTCGGAGCTCCACAAGCTGTCTAGCAAGGTCTTTAAAATTTCAAAATCCTCTGTCTACATTGCGGAACAGAAATCTTTGTTGGGGGATTATTGTCAATCCATAAACTTTAAGAGCAGTTGGCGAGCATACGTTAGCCTTCGATATATTCTCGTCAGGCCAGTTCATTTATAAGGGAACAAGGTCGAGTCAAACATGTCAGAGATAAGATAAACCGAGTAAAGTTCGGCAGAATAGCATTTTTAGCAAAGACGAGGGAGGCTGGCTGGGTGTGGTTGGCTGATAACGGCTAGCATGTCAGAAATGGCAATCCCAGCCCCTCTTGTCTTTGACGGTAATGCTATTCTGCTGTGGTACGCGCCACTGTGCGGCTGTTGGCGGGGTTTAAGAAAGAGCCCCCAGTCTCATCGAGACGAGCGAGCGTCCCTCAACGTTTAAAGTTTGTTTTAATACATTGGCGGGATGTGGAAAAATGGGGGGGGGGGAGGATAGGAGTTAGTGACATGGGTGAGGCGAGAGCGGAAGGGCGCGGAGAGTTGCAAGTAGTTAGTCGACCCTTGGCCCCGGTAGGTGCGGAGTCTAAACGAGGTTTTTCTACGCGCACAAGATCAGCTTCCATAATCTGATGGCGGCCGCTTCTGCTGCTAACAACCGATGGCCCATTAGCTTAGGGTAGCTCGATGGAACCTTATAGATTACACGAAAAGCTTCGCCGAGGTCCTTACGATGCCCGCAATTAACAACATGCACGAGGATGGAACTAGTTATGCTCCTAATTCCGCCTCTTCCCAACCATGCCGGGAGGTGTTCTCGTATTCTTCTGGATAGGCTCTGACTCGTGCGACCAATATAACTCGCTCCAAAGGAGCCAGTGAAGGAGTAGATGCGTACTGAGGTGGTCTGAGATGGCAACCTATCCATACCTTCTCCGCGTAAAATGGGGTTAGTGAAGAATAATATTCGAACCCTTGCTGCTGAGAAGATGCTGAGACAGTTTGATCAAGGCGTCTTCTTAGAAGTTCGTCCGCAGCGTCCCCTTGAAAGACGACTTTGAGGAACAAAGTTATATTTTCGGCCTGTTGCGAAGAATACTATTGGGCAGCCGGAATAACTAACCATCCCATAGTCCCATACCCCGCCTGTGTTTTAAAACGAACTTTAGTCAATTTCTCTCATCACTGAAATGCTTGACTTGAACCCGTTCACATGTAAACGTCTTGGCCTGACAAGAATCTATCGAAAGTGAACGTATGCTCGCTAATTGGTCTTTTAAATATTACAACGATGTCGTCTCATGGCGCACAGTTGAAAAACCACTCATGTACTTATTTTATTTTAGTGCCTACATGTTTACCAGGCCCACTCAAAAACCTTGTACGACGATAAGTTATCATAAACACCATTTCCCAACTTTGCGTAATTTTGTCTTCGTACCTGACTCACGAAGGAACGTGAGTTTTCTCTACGGCCTTATGTGAAAAAACACAAAAACGGATATCTTGTTATAGAATCAGACGCATGTAACGCACAAAGTGAATAGCCCAGTTTACCTGAAATGAGGCTGGAAGTAATCAGAGGAATGATGAGCATTTTAAGCATGTTCATTAGCAGTTCTCCTGGAAACGAAACCAAATTCACCGTCCTCGGGCTGATATCAGGGTGGGCGGCCTTGACAATGAAACCCAGGGCAAGACCAAGCACGACAGAGGAAATGGTCAAGACGAGTTGAATATTCTCGGCCTTTCGAAACCAAGCCGTACACTAACGGGTGGGAAGCAGAGACAAACAAAGAGAACGGCAATGTGGGGCAGGAAGAAAGATTTTATGAAAGTTTCGACGGGTTTTTCCTGACTGGTAAAACATTTGTAGCGTGTAACTTGACCCCAGTGTGTCAGAGGCTCTCATGTCAGTCGGATCGTTAACTCTACCATATTACTTTCCTTCGAACAACCTTGCCTCTTTGTTTAAATCTTCACGCAGATGGGTGCGTCCCTAGTCTTTCTGCCTCTGGCACCAACCAAATTTAATGATTCACCCTGCAAAATTACTAACGACAGATAAATTCAATTTGTTAACTTGGTGAGATTCGGTTTGGTAGCCCCACCTGATGGTCACAATACTGTTGGGGCTGGGGTTAAGCGTTAGGTTTAGCGGTTAGGGGTTAGCGCGATGGTTCCTCGACCATTCAAAGTACAACCGCGCATTCCGAACAGCTTTTTTGCATATATTTGCTTGACCTCGTCACGTGTGCGTTCCCCGGCCCCACATGTAGGAACCCCTATTACCACCGGTCCTGTATTAGAGGTGACTGTGATTTGTTTTACTTCAGGTGGGGCTACATAACCACATCCGACCATTAACTTTATTTGACTCTACCGCCGTAGATTGGCTTTCCCCGACTGTTACCAATTGCGGCTAGATTAACGTTTCCTAACTGAACAGAACAGTCTGAGTCCTTTTCCGAGCTTCGATCCTAGATCTAGTGGATCCATGAAAGCAGACGAATCGGAATTTCTTACTTGCTTGATCTGTTCTGCTCTAAAAACAGCTACACTTGAGATAATTCCCAGGATGCGGTAAGTTAGGCGTTATAGAATAGTTTATCAAGTATAAATTGATGAAGATTCAGCATTACGAAAACCTCGTTAATAAGCTGGCATCACGCAAGAACGGCCCTTGCAAGGAGAATTATCGGAACTAAATCGTATGGTGTATTCATCTGAAGCAGAGCGATTTTAAATGCCTTAGGTCTTAAATTCAGTCCTTTTTCTTTAAGGCACAGTATCAGCCGGAATTCAGATAACATCGATATAAGTACATTAGGAAATTGGCTAGTAAAAAATATTGCGGAAGCGAGGCCAGACGACACAATAACTGGGAGAATAATAAGAGTAGAAATCCTCACCGTGTCACGTTGATTTTTGAGTAAAAAATCTTATTCATGGAGCTTCAAAAAACTGCTTAGTCATTTTTAATCCCATCCATTTTTGATGCCTGTATAAATTCAATCATAATGTCTAGAAAAGAGGCAGAAAAGTCTCTTATTACGCATGGACATTCGGATCAGAAGAAGGTAAGTACATCAGGTCCAAGCGCAGGCGTAAGGAATCCGTATATTTTCAAACACAGCCTGGTTTTTCTGGTTGTTTAGAAAGTACCTGCAAAAAGGAACTGACTTAATCGTAAATGTCCATACAAGGAGACCTTCTGGTGCTGATGGGATACCGCAACACAGATGCATCACGTCACAACCTTGGTGAGCTGTGTTAATGAACTTCAGAACAGAGAGCCACATAAGTGATCATGCGGGCTTCACAGAAAGTATTCAAAGTACGACTATTCAAACACCAAAATAATTTCCTCGTCCATGAACTAGACCTGAAAAACCGCAATCTGCCATAGAATGAATAGAGGTTGGCAGAAAAGTGGATTGGATTCGGTTAGGTACAAAAATATGAATTTCCATAGTACAGGTGGCTTTACGCTGAATTCTGGGAAGATTCGGATTAGTGTTGGGCATAAAACTAGATGAGATAATATTGTGGGCGTTAATGTTAGGGTTAGGGCCAAAGTTAGGACAGGCCAAAAAGCACCACCTGGAGTTTAACGCAAGACCACCTCTGGTTCGAGGCGTCAATATTTCCGTGTCCAACCTGGACTTCATATAGGCCTCGAGAAGATGTGGAGAGATCATTATCATAGGTCGGGATTCCTTTCTGGTGTTGTCCGAAATTATTTTACTACGGAATCGAGCATACCTCGAACTTTGGCGTATGAGACACCAATTAACAGAAAGGGGATCGTACACTTTTTCTTTTGATCCTCAACCTTAACCGACCACAAATATAAATTATTTCAAGGATAATTTTTATCAAAAATGCCGATTTCCACTCAGACGTTTTCTGTTGACCTTTCTAAATCGTGCCTAGCAATCACTGGGCGGGACTGAACAAGTATACCGTTTTTACAGTCAGACGTATGCAGGAAATATTCAACTAACACGTTATTCACACGAGCTTTGTTGCATTTATTGTTCAAAGGGACGGCACACCTAGACCTTGCCAGGCTCGTTAGCTAGTTATCACTATAACTTTCGGTCCTATTTAAACTGCCGATAACGGATGTCAACAAGGGGTGGTAACGTCCTATCTAGACTGACATCGCAATCAATCTTCAACAAACACTTCGCTATTTAGAATGGCATTACTGACAAACACAAGGGACACTGGAATGGTAATTTCTGGCTTATTAGCCGTCGTCAGCCAGCCATACCCAACCCCGAAGTGTGGAATACCCGAGGCTCGAACTCGCGAACTGTTATTTAAAAGTCAACGCCTCTAACCACTGGGCCACGAGCCCGTTGCCCGAGCCCGTTGCCCGAGTCCGTTGCCCGAGCCCGTTGTCGGTTTCGCTATTCCAAAGTCAGTGTTGCTAGACAGTCGAACGCCCGGCTAGACAAATTCCAGTCAGCTGTCTACTAGCAAATACACGACAGCCTACCTCCTAACTCGCAGGATGAGATCACTGATGCGCGAGAATTGGAGCCGTGGACGGTTAGATGCCTACCCCCAGGCAGGGGTTTCTGGTTGTGAGATCAGTTCCTTTTTCATGGCCTGTCTTTTCTTTTTTTCTGCTAATTTAAATTGCTTCTTCTATGTGACCTTTTATAGGGCAAAGAGTTGCCTTACGTTGATGAAAGCTTTAAAAGGTTGTTGAAGACGGGACACCGTAGTTTCCTTGCGTCGGGATGGAGATTTTTATATCCAGACACTGCATAACCTTAATGCTCTACTAGAGTAAATAGCAGTTTTAAAAACGTCTTCTGCATGCTCAAGGCTTACAGTCCGAACAAAGCGAAAATTCTCACTAGAGGACTCGAAAAACCATTCCCGAAAGAGAAATTACGACATCTAACCGCAAATGACTCCTGGCATATCCAAAATCCTACAGTTTTATGCAACAGATTTTTCATTGTCGACAGAAGCAAACAGAAGATAGTGAACTTAACACGCCTAAGTGAATGAGTACCGTTTAGATTCAGACTTGCGCAAGCCTTTTAACGAGCGACTTTAAAATACCATTTAAAAAACATCGGAGTTCCCAAAAACCTAGAAACGCAAGAATTCACTTTCCAGCCCTTTGGGTGAAACCCCCCTTAAGTGTCGATGCGCTTGCATAAACGGCTACTTTTGTGGTCATCATCTACCCCGTGTTTGGGTGAAATGTGGACATTTTGGATCAAAATAGGTGCAAAACAAAGGCCATACAAATAGGTATCCACATTTTTACCTTGTTCTTTGGCACCTTCACTCGCTTCATCTTGGGGAACTTAAAATTCTGATGAGTTTTCCTGTCGCCTTGTTCAGTCACTTTCAGTTGTCCGGAAGTCATGTTAATGGCTCTCTTTTAGGGACGAGGTCGACCACGTTGCAGCACCTGTAGGGTCTCGAACGTACTTACAGCCTGTAATTCAAAGAATGCGCAGAGGGTTGGGTAAATTAATACTGGCCTGATCAGGCAGAACCTGCCCACCGCATGCTGACTGAAGCTAATTCCGATATTCCGATGTGCTCCATAAACACCGAAGACACAATTTTGCCGTACAAAAAGACAGATTTCTGACATCAAATAGCTCAAATGAGAGCCCAAATTTGAATTTGTATAAAATAACTTGTGTGTCGCTAAATCACCCAAACCTAGGTAGGTACGAATGAATTTCAAGGTGATTTTTAAACTTTGTTTAAGGTGCATTTTGGCCATTTTGCTTCTCAATCAAAGTTTAAGAAGGTCTTAAAAGTTGCCGGCAGTACAGTAAGCATTCAAGAATAATCTTATGCTAGAGTTCTCAACAGACAGGTAATTCAGAATCTGTTTTTATGGACGATTGTGTGAAAACACTGAAAATCATGAAGTAATCAGCAAAAATTCGAGGCCGATCTCAAACTCAACGTTATCCAGAACGAAGGAAAAGGAAAAAAAATCATCGGAAGAAAGGTTCTTTCTGTAAACACAAAATTGTATGTTTACGATCACTCCTGTCACTTCTATTTAAATTTATTAGGCACCGATCGGCCTCATGGCATGTCACCCTATGAAAACGTTTGTTTTTACGACGTCTTCATCGGTGAAAGCAAGCAAATTCCAGCTTCTCTTGTTGAACCCCATCTCATTTACTTAAAAAGAGTCAAAAATAACAGGCATCACTGGAAAACAGTTTTCGAATCTACACCCAGAATGCAAGCAGTTCACAAACCGTCACATACGAAATCACACCAATTATTAAACGATATTTAGATGTAAACTTCACTAAACTACCATTATTAAAGATTACTTTATGTCTAATTTCCTATTTACTACGTGTTTGATACGAGAATACCTTCTATACATCCAAAACGAGGTTTACTAAATTACAGCCACTTCTGAAGTTTTTGGGGCATTGCGCTTTTCAAAATAAATCGGCATTTCTAAACAACGCAGCACTGCCTTTAATGTTTCTTTCATGTTTTTAATTATTGTAAACTCGTACTTACTTAACATGGACATTGGACTCATGAAATGGTGTCGGTTTGCGAGTGATTGACAATCATTCGTAAATTTCGACACATTTCATGAGTTAGGTCACCAGTTGTAGTTCACGTTTATTTTTTCATAAAGTAAACCCAGGACTCTGAGTAACGTTTTGTTCCACTGCAGAAGAATGCATCGTTATCATTAAGCGGGGTAACGTTTACGAATCATCCCGGTAAATGATCAATAGAACATTGAGCATGTTATGTGTTAGCTGCGCCCTAGTTCACAAACACAGCAGAGGTCACTGAAGTGACATCAATCTATGTTCCCGCAATGTATTAATGCAAAAACAGGCGTGATAATTATTTTAGACGCCAAAGAGACATAAATATCACAGTGGCGCCTGCAACACCCTCATTATTTCTCATTAGACGTTGTTAATCAGACCAACTGGGCAAGAAAAGGGAAAACGTTCAACAGGAAATTCGCACAGTAGAAAATGCTTCCTGTTTTAATTGGAGAAATTTTAAATGTCAAACATCACTTAACTGCCAAAGCGAAGGATTTTTAAATGACCCCTCTCAAGAAGCTTCGGCCTTTCAACTTATAAACATATTTTACGAATAGTCCGATAAAAGCTAATAATCAAATCTAGATTTTGGGATAAGATAGTCTGTTACTTAGACAACTAGTTGCTTCGGAGTGAATTTTCAGCATGTTTTTGTTAAGAAAATAAGTGAAGGGTTTTGCTGGTTACATTTTCGGAAATATTGCTCTTACTCCTAGTAATATTAGCAAACCTGCTAATACTACTACCACTACCAATGTAATAATCATTAGTGGCTGCGTGGTAAAAAGTTGAAACTGAAAATGCTTAACAACCAAATAATTCGAATTTGAACAATAGATCACCTAAATCGGGGATTCGGCGTGGATAGTTGTGGACGACACAGAGGCTGGAAACAGAAATTTCATTCCTCCATGTCCTCGTTCAACACCATGCAGTTATGTTAGTTTTTATCTTTCACGCCATGTATATATATGGCATTTCACAACCTACACACATGCATACACACATATATCAGGAAATGAAACTACGATGCATGTTCGTTGTAACTGATTTTACAAGCTTGATTAGTTTGCAATGTATCAGAGAAAGGCAAATTGTCGGGTTATTCTCTCTTCCAATTGGCGTTTCTCAACCAGTTCGTGTTCCGACAAAGTCCAGCTTGCATCTCCGATAAAGAATACTAGTAGATACCCGACAGTAAAAGGACACAGGCAGGAGGCTGAATTACATACGAAAGCACCAGTATTTTATTGATCCTAAATTTTAGGGACTTTTAAGTCGCAAGTTTGTGATTATATTTCTTCTGATTTTCTCGTTAACACCATTCTTTGAGGTTTTTGAACGTCCACTGTCTGCTTAGTCAGTTCTCGATTAATTGACTTCGTATATTGAAAGCGATGCTATCGTTGGGCATTTCAACACATTTTACGTAGAATAGGTTTATGCAAAAATGTCTTAATCCAGTTGCATTTGGAGTGGTCTCCTTGCAAAAAATGTCATCTTTATGAAGTTGTCAGTGCCATGACTGCAACTGAAAAGGAAAATTGAACGGGTTTCTCTAAATTTTATCATCACTCGCGCTGGTCAGCTACGGCAACCTGATTCTAATCTGATCCTGCGGACATTGTTTTCTTACCAAAGCTTCCGAAATATGAAGTCGCACCCATTCGATTCGGAAAAATAAACTGTGGCTATATATGGCTTAGATTAAAGCCTACACGTGGGTGAAGGTTTGATGAAAATATTACGATTGCTTAATCCCTGGATAGAATCCTCTACAATCCTGATTCGGCTAACTGAGGAAGGCCGAAACTGCAGAAGCCATATAATTCTCCAAGTAGTTTCAGGCTCGAGATAAAGGCAAACCTGTTTTCGTGCATGTCCCCAGACGTCTGATAGACGAAAATAGATAAATCATAAGAGTAATGCTTTTTCGAATAGTTGAACATTCTTAAGCTGTACCTAGTGGTTTGGTTACGGAGTAACGGTTAGAGCCATTTTATTATTATTTAATGGATAGAGTAAGGTACTTCTATGGACACAGTTTAACGATGTCTTCTTAGTTTTGCCAACTCTGCTTTCGAAATATGACTGCGGATTTTTACGGTTAAATTCCAAAGTTTATGTAGCATTTGCATTTATGATGGAACGGGCATTCCTAGTGTATAAGTAGCATTAGAATTTGTTTCAGTGGGGCACCGGCCCCGATAGCAATAGAAAATGAATTAGACACAATTCGGTGGCTCTCAAGACAGGACCAACATACCTGAATTCGAAGGATACCGAAATACGTCTGTACCGCTTTGGTTCCGGACACTGACTGACTTTACTTAAACCGTCCGCGGAAAAAATGTGCTGAAATGAGGTCTGTTTATAACCAATCAGGTGCATGCACTGAAGGTCGAACAAACTCGGAGGAGGCGTGGTAGCCGCCTGTCTCCAGTCTGTCCACTCGATTGTAAACTTCTTAAGGCTAGAGTAACGCTCGGGGAGCCATTTTCAGGCACATGTATGCGTCCAGATTTGTGTGCTTGCAGGTTTTCTGAAAGCTGACTAGTCACCATTCTGGATCAACAAGTAGTTAAGATAAGAATTTCAATTTGGTGCGTACGTCATGCATGAATTCCTCACAACTGCTTTTAAAGCAGCAGAGGAGCTCAACTTTTAGAAGTGCCTAACTTTGGCTTTAAATGCCGGCGAAACATTCAATAGATACATTCAAAAGCGCAAATTTTGGTACAGAATTTATTGTGGTTACATCACACCCAATCACAGCTTTTGCCTAATTTCCGCAGTGAGGACTACAGTTTCGCCACAGCCCACCTAAATCACAAATGGAGCAATATTTTACAATTCTGGCCTAAAGGATGAAGATCGGAATGTGTACGTCAACAAACTGAGAATACACTGACCGACAGACAGAATAAGTAAGTTTCAAAGATTTAGAAGACATGTTTTGAAGTCAGATTAAGTTAAACGATAAGAGAGACAGTAAAAGCGGTCTCGAATTCTCTAGAGGTAGGCGGTGTCTGAGGTTTGATGTAAAACTCGGTCTGAGACATGGAAATTCTCGCATAGTAGGTAAGTGACAACAAATACTTGATTTCCAAATGCCACATACGTACATTTTGCTAAATCCTACGAGATTCACACAAATCATGCGCCTTCCCCAGACGGGATTCGGAAGATGCGGGATATATAGCAGATATAGGGTCTCATATTTCAAAGATGGGTTCTGTCTCCTGCACCTTACATTTTGAAGTGTCCGGTTGACTCATAATAATCGCTTGTTTCTACCTTTTCAACTTGGAAACCCCCAGGGGGTACGCTTTTTAATGAGGGCATATTCCAGCTGGTTTCGAAAAACATATTTGAACTTTTCTTTGTGCGAGTCCATATGCAGGCGAAGAAGAGCTGTATCGTAGGCAAGTCTGCGTTGAAATTGCAAAAAATTAGGGGGTAGAAATGCGGGGAACTATCGTTCACTGTTAGGGATGATGATTTAAAATTAAGTAATAAAGCGTACTCACTTAAAAGTACTCAATACACTATGAAGGGCCCAAAACGCTGGTTAAATGGCTGCTGTTTATCGACAGTCCGACCATCGTTTCCGACGATGTTCAACGTGTACCTCACAGCATGGTGGGTACGGGGATGCTGGCTTGCGCATGAGTTAGTTTATAGTGCCAGTGGACTTGCGTAGCGCCTGCCGCACTCTCACCCCCTCCACTTGGGTCCG